CCCAGCTACTTGGGAGGCGGAGGCAGGAGACTTGCTTGAGCCCAGGAGTTGGAGGTTGCTGTGAGCTGTAATGCCACAGCACTCTACCCAGGGGGAAAGCTTGAGGCTCTGTCTCAAAAACAAAAAACAAAAAACAAAGTTTGAGAAACAAACTTTGCCTTAACACAAGCTGCAAAAAAATCAGCTTGAATTCTAAAATGACCACTTTGCCAACAGAACTTGGGGAAACTTATGTATGAAACAGATGAGAAATGACTCTCTGATGTCTATCTTCTTGCCCTTTCTAATTTATCAAAGTGATTGATTAAACATTTGCAAATTACAAAACCCAAATTGTTTGACACTTTTCCTCATGGAGATCAAAGTTCTGGTATCAGTTTGAAGACAAAATTTAATGGCTGGATGTGGTTGGCTTATGCTTGTAACCCTAACACTTGGGCAGGCCAAAGTGGGAGGATTGTTTGAGCTCAAGATCATCCATTGTTTGAGCAAGAGTGAGACCCTGTCTCTACTAAAAATAGAAAAAACTGGCTGGTTTGAATTAAAAAAAAGAAATCAGAGGTAAATAGTACATACACTATGATTCCAAATACATCAAGTGTCAGAGTAGGATAGTGATTACGCTAATGGGATAGGGAAGGATCAGCATGAAGAGGTGTCACTGCATAAATGACAGTGAGTCTTCGATCAGGAGCATCATTTCCACTCTCTCCTACCAGACATTTTCTAGGTATCTTTTTCCTTGGCAAATACTCAGGATTTCCTCCTTGTCAAGAGACAGCATGGCATCTCCCTGTACCTGGAGAAGTTGCTCCATTCCCAGCTGACTTATCACATATCAACATCCCTCACACTGGTCAGAAAATTTCCAGGGCAAAGACAACAGAAATGGGGATCTAGTTACCTAGCTAGGTAGAAAATGCAGACCTATATTTAAAGGAGAGGCAGGAAGTTTCTTATTCAGTTTTTGCTGCAGTAACACTCCATGAAATCATCTTCACTATGTAAGCAGTTTATAAAAACAACTATTCATTTCTTGCTCACATTGGCTGCAGAGATGATGCTCTAGGTTGTGGCATCCCTGGGCTGTTTTGGGCATCCCTTGCCCAATTCATCCTCTGTGGGGCTCCTCTCCCCTCTGCCCTTCCCTCCTCATTGGATGCCCCATTCTTTGCTTGTGCAGGTCCTGGTGTCCTTCATACCCCACTGACTCCTGGTTGGGAGACATGCTGCTGTGCCTGTCTAAAGCCAGTCTTCACCTTCATTTGGCGTTCCTTCCTTCCTGCCTCCTAATACATGGACATACACAGGGTGTCCATAGAGTGTGGCACACTACTTCGCATTGCAAACAAACTTTATGGACAATATGTGTGCGTGTGTTTAGAACACACATTTACACACAATACTTACTATGTGTCATGCATGATTTTAAGTGTGCTGTGAATATTACAAGATATTTAATTCTCCCATGTCCTGATGAGGTAGTTACTATGAGTATTTTCATCTAACAGAGGAAGAAGATAAGGAACAGAGAGTAGGTTCTTCTGTTCTTCTCAACCAGTAAAGAACCAAACCAGCATCTGAACCCAGACACTGGGCTTTAAATACACTGTATATATCATGTGCATTTTCCTTAGCTTGTTGGTCACGTCTCCCTTTCTGGGATCTGTGGTCTTTTCTCTCTCTCTCTCTTCCTCCCTCTCTCTACATTTTTCTCCCTGTTCTTCTCACTTCTGCTCACTTTTTCCCCTGCTCTACTGGAGTTCTTTTTCATTATTATCAATGCCTTCCAAGCAATCCAGTTTTATTAGCTGAATATCTATGGGCATTTGCAATGCAACAAATACACTTTTTCATTTCTCTTAGCTAACAAATGAACAATGTTATTTAGTCTCAAAAAAAGCTAGAGAGAAAATATGATACTGAAAAGTTATGGAACAGGCAGTCTTCATCCAGACATTATACTAGGTTGCTATTTAATATTTCATTTGCCGTCTCAAATGAGGTAAGAGGGTTGTTATTGCCTAGCACCATCCCTATCCCAGATGACACAGCATTGTGCATGGGTCCTACACAGACTCATAGTAATTACACCCGGGTGGCCAGCATGCCTCCCCTCTGTGAAGCAGAGGCTCAGTTGTGCCCAGAGATCTCAGCTTTGCCTTGTTGGCAGAGCCTCAGATGTGTGAATCCTCCTCTCACCTGGGCTCCAGGATTGCCTGAATGATGGTTCAAAGTTGTCAACCCATCTTGGGAAGAGGGTTGGAAGTGGTGTGCTGCTTCCTAATGTCGTAGAGATGATAAGAGGGTAATCAAAGCTCTCTGATGGTCTCTGTGTCTTAGGGTTATGAAATTGCTCCACTCATTAATATGAAAAAATCTAAAGTACAGCCTCACCCAGATGTAGGAAGTCTGTCCACGTTGGGCAAGCCCCTCAGACACTTACACTCCTGTCTCTCTTCCCTGTCACCCAATGGACAGAAAATACTCTTTCTTCCAGTTCAACAAATTGTTTTCCAGACTCACATTTTAGTCTAGCCACTATAAAGATGTGTCCTGGACTATCTTTCATTTTCTGTCTGTTCTGCCTTCTTTCTTCATACCTTCTCCATCCATCCTGCTCCTTCTCCATCTGTTCTCTACATTTGTTCTCATCAAGGTTGATAATCACCTCCACTTTGTCTTTTTCACATGGAGGCCTTTCCCTGAGTGTCCTATATATAAAGTCAACTCCCATTACCCCATATTGCCATTCCCTGCCCACTTGGCTTCAAAGCACTTAGCGTGTTTCAGTCTCTGTGTGTATACACATACTGGATATATATGTAGACATATACAAACATTTTTCTCATTTATTTTGTCTATTATGCTTCTTTCCTTTGAAGTAATAACTCTGTGAAGCAGGAGTTTGTATCCATTTTGTTTAGTGCTGGACACAGAACCTAGAACAATGCAGTGCATGCCAAGATCTCAACATACATTTGTTAATAAGCTAATATCAACCAATCTAAAAATATGTCTGGTCCTCCTCTGTGTACTCTCCCCATGCAATTAGCATCGATCACTTCCTCTTTCTTCACACTCATCCTGGCAGGCTAATGACACATGTGCTCTCCTAAAAATCCTAGAACCTTCTCTGACTACTTTTGTTCATATTCCTCATACGTATCCCATTATACCTGTAGTTACACTCAGAATATTGGTGTTCTGAGAGCTTTACCTTCTGTCCCCTGCTTTTCTCAGTCTCCTGTTTTATTCATTTTCTGAGCAATCTGGTATCAAACCATCCTCACTGATTCAGTGCATTTACTATAGCATTTATGTCTATTGTCTCACAGATAAAGCTGAGTGGCATATCGATTCAAGTCAGCATATATCTATTTAGTGTATAGTATCTGCCGAG